CAACCCAAACCTTGCTGGGATTCTATGACTGCCTTTGCAGAGAAGCAGAAAACAGAATGAGATCAGCCAGCATCAAAAACCTGAATAAATGGTGGGATTTATCTCAGCCTGTTTGTGCAGCGATGCACAAACTCTCCCATGCCTTGTTCTGGCATCCCTGCCCTCATCACCCTGCTGTGTCCTTGCTCTCCAGGCTGTCACAGCAGCTGGAGAGGGTGGAATTGTCTTTGCCCACTGCTGACAAGCACTCCATGCATCCCTTTGGGTGCTGGTTCCTCCCTGTGCCATCAGTGCTTTGGAAAAGCAGCTGGAGAGGGTGGAATTGTCTTTGCCCACTGCTGACAAGCAACCCATGCATCCCTTTGGGTGCTGGTTCCTCCCTGTGCCATCAGTGCTTTGGAAAAGCAGCGGAATCCGACTGAGCGCCAACCACCCTGAGGGAGATGTGGGGAGAGGAGCAGCATCAGCAACGTCCTTCCCTGGCAGCTGAAAGGTCAAGTGGGCTCAGGGTGGACCAGCCTTCTCCAATTAAATGCCCACACTTTGCAACACTTTGATTCTTTTGGATTTTTGCCTCTTTTCTTCACACTTTGCGTTTTTGTGGAACAATGCTTGGCTTGGAAAACACTTGATTTATCAGGCACTGCTGCTGTCAGCTCTCCAAAGTCATCTTTAATATCCAAGAGAAGGACAGACAAGGGTCCACACTGCTAATGCAGTTAAAGTCCTTGGATCCAGAGGAAGATCCAGGCTGGAGCACAGGGATGGCCTGCAGCACCAGCCGGAATGTGGCAAGGGCAGGGAGGCTCTTGGCCAAGGGGGTGCTGGAGAGACATCTGTGGGAGCTGCAGTGGATCCATGTTCCCAGAAGACAGTTCCCTAGGAGCACTAGGCATGGATGGATCACCTGGCCCTCATTAACTAGGCTAATGGCCTGGGAGCCCCTGGGGTGCCATCTCCTCAAGCTGCTGGACCACATCCTGCAGAGAATCCCGGAATTCCCCCAGTGCCACATCCACACCTCTTCTGAACACCTCCAGGGATGGTGGCTCCACCACTGCCTTGAGCAGTCTGGTCCAATGCCTGACCACCCTGACAGTGAAGAAATTTTCCCTAATATCCAACCTGAGCCCCCCCTGGCACAGCCTGAGGCCGTTCCCTCTCCTCCTGTCCCTTGTTCCCTGGCAGCAGAGCCCGACCCCCCCCGGCTCCCCCCTCCTGTCAGGGACTTGCAGAGAGCCAGAAGGTCCCCCCTGATGCTCCTCTGTTTCTAAGAGGAGGGATGTCCCAAAGCCTGCTTGGCCTTCAGCTTCCAGTCCCCACCAGAAGAGCTGACTGGTTCAGCTGATCCCTCTGTGATGTCCTTTGAGGTCCATCTCTCACAGTCCTTAGGAAGGAGCTGCATTTTATCACTCCCTTGTCATGAAACAACTGCTCACTCTGTATTTTCTGGCTCTCATAGCCTCAGCTGCCCTTTCCTGTTTGATATGTACAGCACAGCAGCATCCAGAAGTCTCCAGTATAATTTACAATCCAAACAGAGAAGGTGGGGGGAAAAGAGACTCATTAATTTGCCCCAAGTTATGCAATAATGCAGAGTGAATAAACACAAATCTCTGACTGCACTTTAAGACAGGGATAATATCAATCAAAGCCTCCCTTGGTATAAAGAGGGCTGCAAGCAGAGCCCCCAGTGGGCTGCTGTACCTCTGGCAGAGCTCAGAGCTGCCAGACCAACAGCTCAAGGCAGAGTGGCACTTTTATCTCCCTTTTTGCTCAGGCCATCTGGTCCCTCTCTCCTGTATTTTGTATTTATTTCTGATTTTGTGATACATGCTGCAGCTTTGCTCTGTCAAACTGTTCAACTGTGACCTTTTCCTAAATACACAGAAAGGAAGTTTGTAAAACAGCTCCAAAAACAATGCTGGAATCATCCACATTATGATAATTAAACAAGCAAAGATCAATTCTAATCCACTCTAAAGTCAGTAATTCTCAATCCTTCGGAAATTTGAGCATCCAGATCCAACAGTTTATCATTTTGCTGTCATTTACCCTAAAGATATCAACTATGTCAACTGAAAAATAAGGTGCTGTGAAACCTGCCAGTCCCAGCTTGAATCACTTGTCAAGAAACCAAACACAAAGCGCAGTCTGCGGAGTGTGACAATTCCTGAAAACCTCAGGAATCAACACTAGTCCCTCTCCAGAATGTTTGAGAGGGTCTCAGAGCTGAACCAGAAAGTTCTGGGGTTGTTTCCACGTCATTTCTGACATTGAAGAAAACAAGTAACTGCCTTTGCTGCCCCCAAAAGTGGTTTTTTAAGACAGTGCACGTGGAAGAATTTCCCAGGAATGCAGCACTGCTATTCCTTTGGAAAGAGAAACGAGGCTGTTCAGCTAATCCTGAGGAGTTCACAAGGAGGAAAAGACACCATGGGTTACTCAGTTGTCATCTAAGGGTAGTAAGGGATACAAGTCACTTCTTACTGCGAGGGTTTTTAAATGTACTGAAGTAACATTCCCACCTCCTGGGATAAAACTGGAGCTCAGGAATCTGAGAATGCTTTGGATTGGAAGGGATCTTAAAGCTCAGGGGACACCTTCCACTAGCCCAGGTTGCTCCAACCTGGCCTTGGACACTTGCAGGGATGCAGAGGCAGCCACAGCTTCTCTGGGCAACCTGTGCCAGGGCCTCCCCACCCTCACAGCCAACAATTCCTTCCCAATATCCAACCTAAATTTCCCCTCTGTCAGTTTGAAGCCATTCCCCCTTGTCCTGTCACCCCAGTTCCCAATGAACAGTCCCTCTCCAGCTTCCCTGTAGCCCCTTCAGACCCTGGAAGGTGCTGTGAGGTCTCCACACAACCTTCTCCTCTCCAGGCTGAACATTCCCAGTTCTCCCAGCCTGTCTCCACAGGGAAGGTGCTCCAGCCCCCTCAGCACCTTCTGGGCCCTCCTCTGGACTTGCTCCAACAGCAAGTTTGCTCCAGCAGCAACCTCCACACCCTGATAGCTTTGAAATTACAGTCACAATGGACACATTTGTATTTGCTGCATTACCTAAATTACACTTCATACCTCTGAACATCCCCAATAAATTATAGGGAGCAGCAGGAATAATCTCTCTCTCGAAAAATCCTTCAGCAAAGGATTATAATTAAATGCAAAGTTTATCATTTTGCACTGTTCCTTCAGATTCTGTGTTTGTTTCAGGATTAAATACGAAATTAGGAGAGGTCTGGCAGTATTTTGCTATTTTTCATTTCTTAAAATTATGGCTTCAAAACACTAATGCTCTAATGATGAGGATAAATAGAATGTATATCATGAATTTTTGTCTGAACTCCTTAAAACAGCTGAGCAAGCCCCTCATTAGGGCCTTGTGAAGATCATTTACATTCAATTTCTGGGTTCTCATTTCCTTGGACTTGAAAATATCTGTACAAAGCCCAATATATTCCGATGCTGATTGTGTCACAACATTGGCATCCTGAGCACACAGTGCAACTCCTTTATATCCTGAGGCTGGTTGCAAGGACCCTATCCCTCACTCCCTATTATTCTACAGATGTCAAATTTATCACTTCATATCATTATATAGATGTCAAATTAATAAATACATTCTCTGTAAAGGAACTTAAACTAATCAGCCTGTGCCCCATTTTTTTTGGTCATTTTTACTCAATTTTAAGACACTAAAGTTGAAGATATTAAATTGTCAGAGAGTAAACTTTATCAACTCATCCTCTGTAATAAGAGTAATCATCATCTGCACTTCTAACGTCGAAGAGGTCGAGTCTGACACACAAATGGTGCAGATGATCAAAACATGCTCCAAGAGGCTGGAGGAAAATGAACCACGAGCCCTGATGATCCCAGTCACAATTCCAAGGCTCAACATTTGTTGTTTATCCCAGTGACCGACATGTTTATCCAAAGGACTGACATGTTCAGCAGCTTCTGAGAGCATCATTTCGAGCAAACCTTTCCTCACGGTCCTTGTCACCTACAGCCCAGATCTTTCCAGCTGGACACAACCTGCTAAGACCACAGTGTTTTCATAGCCCAGCATTCAAGAGGACCTAAAAAATAGCAGTGAATAAATATTTTACCTGTACTCATCCTGTGTGAAGCGTGGGATGACCGAGGGCTGCAGCACAGCAATTTCTACCGTCGTGGTGTTGAACTTCACCGGGTCCCCATCATCATATGCAATGACCACCAGCTGTTGACAACAGAGAAAACCACTCCCTGAGCAGAGACAAGGACATTTTTCACGTTGGCTTGCAGCAACACCAGCACTTTCAGGGTCTAAAAAATCAGATGAGATTTTCCTTCACTGCAAATCATAACTTGTGTAAGAACAAAACCCGGGGGAAACAGGTGACAGCGTCCACAGGTTGAACCCCCTGCTAGAAGATTCACAGGAACACAGTAAATTGGAACCCAAATAAAAGTGTCTTCCACAAATACTCTCCAAAACACATCCCCAGCTTCAAGAACATTTCTCAAGGGGTTCCTTTCACATCTAATGAAAGCCCTTATTCAGAACTGCAGAAGCAATTTAAAATTTCATGGTGTAGAGAGGTCCATGTTTAGGCAATTTTTAATTAAAAAACCACTTATATAGGTTTTGGCAGAGGGGATGGAAAGTGCCTGGTGGGAAAGG